CATCACAGCTCACAGCAACCTCCAACTCCTGGGCTCAAGTGAGCCTCCTGCCTCTGCCTCCCAAGTAGCTGGGACCACAGGCACCCGCCACAACGCCTGGCCATTTTTTGGTTGCAGCCATCAGTGTTGTTTGGTGGGCCTGGGCTGTATTTGAACCTGTCAGCTCAGGTGTATGTGGCTGGCACCTTAGCCACTTGAGCCACAGGTGCCGAGCCCATTATTTTCTTTTGAGACAGAGTCACTGTGTCACCCTAGGTAGAGTGGTATGGAATCACAGCTCACAGCAACCTCAAACTCTTGGGTTTAAGTGATTCTCTTGCCTAAGCCTCCCAAGTAGCTGGGACTATGGGCACCCACCACAACACCTGGCTATTTTTCTGTTGCAGTTGTCATGGTTGCTCAGCTTGCCTGGCCCGGGCTGGGTTCAAACCCACCAGCCTTGGTGTATGTGGCTGGCACTGTATGAGCTGAAATGTTAAGTATTTAAAAATAATTTTCTTTTTGTTTTGTTTTATGAGACAAAGTCTCACTCAGTTGCTCTGGGTAAAGTGCCAGGGCCTCATACCTCACGCAATCTCAAACTCCTGGGGTCAAAACATCCTCTTGCCTCAGCTTCCCCAGTAGAAGGGACTACAGCCATGTGCCACCACACCAGGCTAATTTCCCCACCCATCTCTGCTTTTTTTTTTTTTATTGATACAGAGTCTCACTATGTCACCTTTGGTAGAGTGCTATGGCGTTACAGCTCACAGCAGCCTCAAACTCTTGGGCTTAAACGAATTCTCTTGCCTTAGCCTCCCAAGTAGCTGGGACTACGGCCTGCCACAACGCCCAGCTAGTTTTTTGTTGCAGTTGTCATTGTTGTTTAGCTGGCCTAGGCTGGGTTAGAACCTGCCATTCTGGCTGTATGTGGCTGGTGCCGTAACCACTGCTTGCTTTTCTTTTTTTAAAGTAGAGATGGGGTCTCCTTCTTGCTTAAGCTCTCTCTCTGAACTCCAGAGCTCAAGCAATCTACCTGCCTTGGCCACCCAGTGTGCTGGGATTACAGGTATGAACCACCGTGCCTGGCCAAGATATATAAAATTTTTAAGAAAATATATCCCATATTTGTAAGCTGCAAGCCATTGTAATGTCTAAGACTTTTTTTGCACACACACAGCCCTGCCAGGATCAGTTTTTACCCCTTTGGGGGGAATATCTGACCCTCTCTTTGAGAAGGTATTTGAAACAGGATTTATTTGTTCTGCTTGTGTTTCCTGAGCATTTACTGTGTGCCAAGTGCTGTCCTAGGAATTGAGGGTATAGCAGGGAACAATACTTGTACCCATGGAGCTGGCAATATCTGATGGGTCTAATCAATAATGCATCCCTGGGCATGGCAAGTTTTCCATCATAGTCAATCAGGTTGGTAAGGGGCCCCTCCTCACCTCATGCCCTTACCCTCTCATAGTTCTCCCAACTCCTGCCTTCTCCTCTCAGGAAAAAAACCAGAAGCCCATACATCTGGCAGGTGCCTTCCTCGCCTTTATCTTGGGCAACCTCTACTTCTGGCTACAGCTCCTCCTCCTGTGGAGGAAGAAGAGCCTGCCCCAGCCCGGGGCCCTCTGGATCAGGCCACTCCGCCTGGGCCTCTGCAGTCTCTGTACCATACTCATCGTGGCCAGTATCTTTACTAGAGCCAGGGCATGGCTTGGAGGTGGTTCTTCTTTGGGGTTGATCTCTTGTGTGCTGGCTGTGTGTCTCTTTTGTTTTCTGGGCCTTGGTTTTGCGTGGGATTCCAGCTTTGTGGTTGAGAATGCTGATATTGGAGTCAAATTGCCTGATCTAGAATCCCATCGCCTTCACAGACCAGCTGTAGGAAACTTCCCCTAGTTCCTTTATTTATCAGCTGGAGGATAATAATAGGGCTCACCCCAGGGCTGCGAGTAGTAAATAGGGTAATACACATGAGATCTGTGCCTGGCACATAGCAGGTGACCCACAGGTACTAGGAGGTACTACGGGAATAATAGCATTTGGTCCATTTGGGGCAGCTGCTCTATGCCAGGAATGAGCTCAGGGAAAGTCTCTGGGCTGGGAGGTTCCATGGTGGGGTTAGTGGTGAGCTGTAGGAGGGACTCTTCCCGACTCCATGTCAGTGATGTCACATTATGGCCATGCTGAAAGTACTTTCTTCTTCTTTTTTTTTTTTTTTTGAGACAGAATCTCACTCTGTTACCCCAGGTAGAGTGCAGTGATGTTATATTAACCTCAAACTCTTGGGCTCAAGCAATCCTCTTGGTTAGCCTCCTGAGTAGCTGGGATTACAGGTGCCCCCACAATGCCTGGTTACTTTTTCTACTTTTAGTAGAGATGGTGGTCTCACTCTTGCTCAGACTGGTGGTGAACTCCAGATCTCAAGCAATCCACCTTCCTTGGCTTCCCAGAATCCCAGGATTATAGGCATGAGCCACTGTGCCCAGCCAACTGTTAGTATTTTCACCATGGTGCTTGGTAAATGCTACACACCAGAGCTGGCCGTTAAACTTTACCAACACACCACTAGTGGAGACTCAGTTCCAGCGATCTTCTCAGTTACCCCAGAAGCCAGGAGCTTCCCACTAGCACAGCATACCTAGGGGTCAAGTCCTTCTCTGAGCCTCAGTTTCCATATCTGTCAGGTAGATTCTTACCAGTGAGTGTGGAGTGCTTTGGGGTATGTGCTATACACTCAGCCCTGAGAGCTTTTCTCACTGTGGGGGCAATGGAAGGGACACCAAGGCTTGAGGGAAACAGCTGAGACCCCTATTATAGGCTGTATTGAGTCCATTTGTTTGGAATTTTCCCAGCAAAATGGAGATAGCATTTTGTTTCCCAGAGCAACAAACTGGATCTCTATGAAAGAGGTGGGGAAGGCTGACTCCAGCTCCAGAGAAATAGCTTATCTCTTCTGTAGGGGCCCTAGTGGTGACAAGACTCAGCCCTGCCTCTTCCAAATCTTTAAAACAGGGCCAGGCTGATGTTTTGCCTCAGGGTCTTCATTCTGTGGGGCTCCACTGTCCCCTGGCTGGGGGGAAGGCAAGGGGGCTATAAAGGGCAGCCAGCTGAGTGTGAGAAGGGCTGGAAGTCAGCAGAGATGGGTTTGAGACCTGGTGGGATTCTAACCCTGGTTTTGGCAGGAGGGGCTGCTTTGGGCCTGGGTTGGTAGGTCCAGGGACCCCACAGATGTATGCAGAGAGAAGAAAGACCAGCTTGGGGGAGGAATGGGGCTGTTGGCAGGTCTAGAACTGGGGATCTCTAAGAAGAGGGAGGCAACAGAGAGCCACAGAATGTTTATGAGCAGGGGAGGTGCAGCATTGTCCTGGGAACAAACAATTTATGTTTGGGGGAATCACACTTCTCCCTTGCTGTAAGACACACAGGGGCCAGGGTGGTGTCGGCATTATTTGCCATCTATCTTCCTCTGCTTGGCCCACAAGGAGCTTAGAACTGCTTGTGAAGGCTCGGCGCCTGTGGCTCAAGTGGCTAAGGCGCCAGCCACATACACCTAAGGTGGCGGGTTCGAATCCAGCCTGGGCCTGCCAAACAACAATGACACTGCAACCAAAAAATAGCCGGGTGTTGTGGCGGGCGCCTGTGGTCCCAGCTACTTGGGAGGCGGAAGCAGGAGACTCGCTTGAGCCCAGGAGTTGGAGGTTGCTGTGAGCTGTGAAGCTACAGCATTCTACCCAGGGGGACAGCTTGAGGTTCTGTCTCAAAAAAAAAAAAAAAGAACTGCTTGTGAAATGTCTAAACTGATCTGGGAGGGGTGGGGCAGACGAGTGTGGCCCCAAGGAGAGATTCCAGGAAACAAAGGGTTGTCTCTGTTTAGGTGGAGTCTAGTCTATGTGGGCTGCTGTGTAGAAAACTTTTAAGGCATTGGGGCGGGACAGCCAGAGAAGGGACAGGGCAGACCAGGAGAGAGATGGAAGACCAGAGGAGGGCACCAGAGATGAGTAAGGCAGGTAGGAGGAGACCTGGGGTGACCCAATGACTGAGGGGGTAAAGAGGGAGGGGGGCAAGGGCCCCGTGGGTGCATGAATAGATGGTGGAATTGCCACAGGGTGGGGACACCCAGAAAGAGGTCCAGGTCTAGGGGAAAGAGATTAGATTCTGCTTGGGAATGAGTGAGAGGGGCCTGTGGGCCACAGGCAGGGTGGTAATGTTTAGTAGAAAGTTGCAAAACAGCCTGAGCCTGGCAGGCAGGGAGGCATGTTTAGGAAAGGCTGCTGCTCGTCTGAAGCTGGTGGCAGTGGTAGCTGAATATTGACTTGGACAAGTAGAAAGGTGACTGGAGCCATCAGTGTTCCAGGGAAGGTACATGGAACATAAGAAAGTTGCTATGGAAATCAAGAATGCAGTAGTAGGCTAGGCTAGATGGCCAACACCTGTAATCCTAGCACTTGGGAGGCTGAGGCAGGTAGAGTGTCTGAGCTCATAGGTTCGAGACCAGTCTGAGCCAGAGTGAGACCACACCTCTAAAAAATAGCCGGGCGTTGTGGCAGGTGCCTGTAGTCTCAGCTACTTGGGAGGCTTAAGGCAAGAGAATTGCTTAAGCACAGGAGTTTGAGGCTGCTGTGAGCTATGACACCATGGCATTCTACCAAGGGGGACAAAATGAAACTCTGTCTCAAAAAAAAAAAAAAAAAAGAATGCAGTAGTAATGGGAGGTGCATGTAAAGGACAGGGTTTGGGAAGCATTGGTGACGAAGGCTAGACTCAGATTGAGAGGATGTATGTAGGAAGATGAGAGCTAAGACTGGTGGCCAGCCAGCAGTAGAGGAGAGGACACCCGGGGATAGCCTCAGCCCAGCCTAAGGCCACATAGCAGCCAAGATGGGTTCCTGGGTCCTTCATGGTAGCCATGTGGTCCTTGACACCAGTGTGAAGTGATCATCCTCCATTCCCAGCAGCTACGTTCCGCCTCTGCTGTCTGTGAGTGGGCCACCGCCATGCTGCTGTTCACACTCTTTGGACTCTTCTCGGTTGACTTCTCTGGCCTGGACAGCTGTACCCTGAGTCTTCAGCCAGGGTCCAGCCTCAGCCCCTCGCCAGTTTCCCTTGGCTCTCTGCCTGTCTAGCTGTCTCAGACACCCTGACTGGGGCCTCATGTTGCCAGTGAAGGAAGAAGACAGGACTGATCTGTTATCCCCATAACAGATGAACAGTGAACCACTGGGGGGGGGGGTCTTTGAATGGCCATGAGCAGGGGGCACTGACTGTTCCTGTCATGGAGCCCAGGACATGGGAAGGACATGTATGCAGGCCTGGAGAGCCTTTGAACAGCTGGTGGCAGCCAGAACCTCTGTGCCAGCCTGTCCCCATCATCTAGCCTTACCCTGGTGATGAGGATACCCAGGAAACAAGAGGCCATGGTCAGTGAGTATCCCTGATCAAGGCTATTTTATTATCTTTTTTTTTTTTTTTGCCGCCGGTGGAATCAGAGACACGGACGCAGGCAGGGTCACGCGAAACCAGAATTCCTTCCGGAGAGCAAATCCGTACAGAAGGGGGAGGACCAGGGAGGAGGGGCCTGGGAAGGGGGATTGGGGATGACACAGGGACAGAGGGCCCTGTCCGGATCTGCTAAGCCACCCCAACCACTCCCGTCCCTCCCCCACCCCACCCCGCAGAGATTGATCAATAAATAAAATAATAAATTAATCAATAAATAAAATAGAAACGGCTCCCCTGCCCCTATTCCCCTCAGAATCACCCCTGTTGGGCATGGCCCTTAGAGCCCCATCCCTGCAGGGCAAGGCCAGTTTTTGTGTCCTCCCTCCCTCCCAACATGTTCCTTAGGCCTTATTTACAGATTCACAGTTGGGGGCAGGGAAAGGAGGTGGAAGGGATTCCCCTCCTTCCCCAGCCCCCTGGGGTCAGGGCAAAGGGGTCCCATTGGTGGCCAGGAGCTTCTTGTCCTTGGGAGGTCCTCGGCGGGGAGAGCCACTCAACTCTGGGTCAGGGCGGCCAGGTGGGGGCTGCAGGCTCCGGGGTGGGGTACCAGCAGGCCGGGTCTGGACCCCATTCTTCTCATCTGTGACAGAGGGAGAGGTTTTATGGTTGCTCTGTGGCAGAAGTTCCTGCCATCAGGAAACAGGCTGGCATCCCCTTAAGGGTTTGTCTCAGTGACCCCAAGGTCCCAGCTACATGTCTGGTGAAGCTTAAATCCCCTATCACGATGGCTGGAAGCCTCCAGAAGCTGTTGCTAGGTGGACACATATCTTGGTAATAAGGCCTGGTATCCCTATAATGGAGGCCAGACTGTAAGCCCCCTGCAACTCTCATGGCTTTGGAAAAGGAGTCAAGTGGGCCAGCCCAGCTTCGGGGGAGTCTCAGATATACTGACTGCTGTTTGTTAGGACAGCCTACCAGGCAGCTTGCAGGTCATGGATGGTGGGGGAGGCTCTCCCTGCTTCCTGATGACCTGGGGTTTTTATTATTTTTTTTGAGACAGTCTCATTTTGTCACCCTTGGTAGAGTGCCATAGCCTCATAGCTCACAGTAACCTCAAAATCTTGGGCGTAAGTGATTTTCTTGCTTTGGCCTCCTGGGTAGCTGGGACTACAGGCACCCACTACAATGCCATGCTATTTTTTAGAGACAAGGTCTTCCTTTGGCGCAGGCTGGTCTTGAACCAGAGTTCAGGCAATCCACCCACCTTGGCCTCTCAAGTGCTGGGTTTATAGGTGTGAGCCACAGCACCTGGACTCCCTGGGTTTTTTTTTTTTTTTTCTTTTGAGGCAGAGTCTCTCCCTTTGTCACCCTGGGTAGAGTGCCATGGCATCACAGCTCACAGCAACCTCAAACTCTGGGGCTCAAACGCACCCAAATGCCAAGCATCTATGAGTATGTCTCCTCTCAGGGCAGAGGAGTCCTGTGCTGTGATCAAGGTTAAGGGCCTTAAGCGGGGGAGATTATCTTGAATTATCTGGGAAGGTCCAACTTAGTCACACAAGTCCTTAAAAGAACCTTCCCCAGCTAAGCTCATGCAGCCCTCCTGACACTTTGGTTATGGCCCAGCAATAAATAATAAATTTGTGCTGTTTTAGCTACTGAGCTTGTGGTCATTTGTTATTGGCATCCATAGCAAGCTAATAGAGGGGCAAAATCTACCTTCTCAGCTGAGAACCACACCTCCAGAATAGATGCTTAACCTTGGGACTCAAGAGTTTTCTGGTGACAAGGCCACCCTGGTTCCTGCCCTCACTGCTGTGTCCTGCCTTCTTGCTCCCTTCCACAGGGGAGCTAGTTGAGGCAACTGGAAAGGAATAGTGAGCCCTGCAAGGCTGATGCCATCCAACTCCCTCTGAGCAGATGACTGTCTCCCAGAGCTTTGGTGTGCTCAACCACCTGCCACGGGGCTACCACTCTCACTTACTGTGTCCTGTGAGACCTCAATCCTTGGAGAGGGGTGACCGTGTCTCAGAAATGAGGGTAAGAGTACTCTTCACTCAGGCATTCTGGTTAACTCTGGATGTGAGGGCTTTCTGCTAAGGTCTGAATGTTGTGGGCCCAAATTCCTATGTCGAAATCCTGACTCAAGGTGATGGCATGAGGTCAGGCTTTTGGGAGGTGAATAGGTGATGAAAGTAGAGCCCTCATAAGTGAGATTAGTGCCCCAGAGAGCTGCCTGGGCCCTTATGCCATATGAGGACACAGAGAGATGGCAGGTGCCACCTGTGAAGAAGAAAGCAGCCCTCGCCAGACACCGAATCTGCCCTGGAGGTCACTTTCCAGGTTCTCAGGCTCCAGCCTTGGAGAACTTACTGGCAATACTGCAGGGAAGTCCTCAACAAGACAATGGCAGAAGAGCCCAAATGGCCTCCTCTGCAAACCAAACTCCCGGAGCATATGGTCACACTGGTCACCTCTCCCCCACCCCTGCCACCCACCTGCCAGAGCCTGCACGGAGGGCTGGTCATGAGTACTCAGCAGCTGTGCCTGGATCGTCTCCACCACTCTCTTGAACCGACGGCTGGGACCTGGAGTGACCAGCAGGCAGAGAAATGAGCTGATTGAGGGTTGGGGATTCTCCAGCCTACAGAATGCACCCTCTCCACCAAGCAAATGACTCTTCTCTCCTTTGCATCTCAATCCTTTGCATCTCCTTTTCCCTGCTCTGCTGGGCTAGCATAGATTCAAAATTTGCATATGGATCTCTGGGTTGCTAGTTAAGGACCACAGTCAAACTCAGATACCTTCAACTTAACAACAGTCTATTAAATAGCTGTCATTAGTTTCTAGTTGAGGCCTTAAAGGGCCAGAAATGTAAGAAAACAAATGCCAAAAAAGGTCTTAAAATTAAGAAAGGTCTGCATGGGCGGTGCTTATGGCTAAAAGGAGTAGGGTGCTGGCCCCATATACCGGAGGTGGTGGGTTCAAACCTGGCCCTGGCCAAAAAATAAAAAAAGAAAAGTCTGCATATTAGTCGGTGTTTTTTTTTTTTTTTTTTTGAGACAGAGTCTTACTATGTCATCCTTAGCAGTGTGCCATGCTGTTACAGATCACAGCAACCTCAAACTCTTGGGCTTAAGCAATTCTCTTGCCTCAGCCTTCCAAGTAGTACATACTAGTCTTTAAAAAGGAGAAGTGAAAAATAACAGAGCCATAGTTGGTTTCAGTGATAGAACAGCCCACCATCACATAGCAGCCTAGTTTAGAAATCGTTGGAGCAAACTCATCTCTTGACAGTGACATACTAAAATTAGTGACAAAGATAGCAGAGTTATCCCTCATTACCCTAAACTCTCCCTATCAGGACTCAGGCACCAAGCAGAAGTAGAAGCAAGTTATTGCTGTGGTTTTTATCCCTTGTGCCAACTTTTGACTGGTTGTGGCTGCCTGGGGTCTAAGCTGCAATAGGGCTGGCAGGAAGAAGTTAGTAATGTCTGCAGCACCCAGCTGTGTCTTTGACCTTTTGATCTATGATCTTAAAGAAGTAGGAGTTCTGCTTTCCCCTGTGAGGTGAGGAGGTCTGGGTTCAGCCTCAGCTCTACCATAGGTTATCATGTGACTCTAGTTAGTCTATCTCTCTAAGATTCACTTTTCTCCTTTGTAAAACTGGTAACTAACTATAACACCTCAGAGGGTGCTTGACAGCATCAATGAAATAATGCCTTCATTATTTACACTGTAAACACCCATCACATGTCAGTGGAGAAGGATGGGGATCTGTGTCAGCAGGAGGCCTACGGAAAGTCAGCACCAGTTACCAATTGAGTGTTATATCCACCTCCCTTTTGCTGCACTCCCAGGTATTCTCCTATCACAGCCATTGTAAATGTCCCAAACCCTTAGCTGAGGCTAGTCTAGTCAAGAACTCACCAGAGATGAGAGTAAAAGTGACAGAATAGATGCCACCACCCCCACTGCCATCCCTTCGTGGGGAGGGCTCTGGGCCCTCAGAGGAGCTGATGTCCACCTGGAAGCGGACGGGCTTCTGGAAGACGGAGGGGCCACCGCTGGCCTTGTATTCAGCCCTGAAGCTGGTCTGTGACAGCACACTGTGACTCAGGCTGGGGATCTGAGACAAGTGGGAACACAAGGATGGGGTGAGTCTAGGAAATGGATAACCAACCCCTCAACAGCTCTGGTCAAGGAACTACTAATCCCATCAGGCATGGCAGGAAAGAGTAACAGAAAAGGCAGTAGGACATCCCACTGCCTTTTGGGACTTGTAGTTTCCCCCCCCATTCTACTATAAATGGAGTAGCAGAGGAATGGTGAACAACTGACTCCCAAATTCACAAGGACTCTTACATAAAGGTGACAGCCCCAAGCTCCAAGACTATGTGAAACACATTTCACCCTCCCTCTACAAATACTGTCCAAAAGCTGTCTCAGAATCTGTAAGGCCTATCAGCCCCTAGAGCAAAGAACCCCAGTACTGTCAATGGGAAGCCCTAAAGTCTGCTGGGAAAAGCAATTTGGCTGATCTCAAGCCTGGTGGTAGGTGAATGGTGACTCACCAATCCTCAGGGGTGCTAATATCTGAGAAACTGCAACTCGGGATTCTATCTCACCACTTCCAGGCTCTGGGCGCAATTAATCTTTCCTGCCTCTCTGCCCCACACTGACCAAGCTCAACTATCTTCTCCCTGGAAAACCACCAGT